GTGCTGTTTCAGTAGGTTATGTAGTAAGCCTAGTGGTAGTTACTATTAGCAGAAGGAAAAAGATGTAAAATACCAAGAATACATCTTATGGAATTTGATTATATGCAATAAATTTTCAAAAAATAGTAAGGAATCAAAATATTTTACACCTATCTTAGATATTTTAATTTAAAACATATGTATCCACATTTTTGGCCAAATTTTTGGTATAGTACTCACAACTTTTCTTTAAGTATATACTGTTGATGGAGTTTCCAGTTTGCTTTGTTGCATATTGCATTCATGATTCATATTTACTATTGTGTAGCTGCCATTCCTGACTTCCACTTTCTAAAGAAATAGAATAGGATGCTTCCAGAACAGTCTGAATGCCCATTTTTCTAAATGTTAGTGATTTACTTCTGAACTCTGACAGCTATCTTCAATTTTTAAGCCTAATTTAAAAATGTTTCTTAAGTATTGGACTTAATTTTCAAAGAAGCAACTCTTTTGCACTCATAAAATATTGTTATGTAGTCTATAGTCATACTAACAAATACAACTGGCATAAACAGGTCAGGAATACACACAGATTCTTGGCAAACAGACAACTCAATTGGTTGAAGAACTGGAGGGGCAGCATAGATGGCAACCTGTTGTGGGTATCAGAATGTTCCACAAAGGAAACAGAGAACATTGATTAATTCGGAGGAAGTGGAAGGTCAATGAAGTGAGGGTTGTAAGAGAATATTTACTCTCGTCTGGGAGTACTTAAGGCTTAAGGTTCTGGAATAATTGAAGCCGAGCTGGCAGGTGCCAGAAGTATTGACACAGAAATTCTAAATAGGATATTGCATAGGATTAAAGATAATATTAGAGATTATTATCAAGTTTCATGCTTTTATGTAATTGAGAAGTAAATTTTAGTACAATAAATTTAGGTGACTTGCCCAAAGTCACAGAGTTGATTAATAGTGAAACTAGATTTCCTCACTATTAAGTCGATGTTTAGGGGCTAATTTTCTGCATTTTCCACTGACCTTTCCACAACCCAGATTTAACTCTCGCTTTTGCAAGGAATTGCTCCAAGTTTGCTTCCTTTAAAATTCCTTTCATGGTCTCCCATTATGCTGTTTATATGTTCTAATGGTTTATTTTATGTTTACTGCCCTAGAAAGCCAGTTCTAAATGGCAAGGACCATGTCTTGTTTGCTGCTGGTTTGCAGGGTAGGCACTCAAGAAATATTACTTTGAATAACAAAATAAACAAAGTGGAATTACCACATGATCAAGCAATACCATTTCTGGGTATTAGCTGAAGAAAATTAAAAAAAAAAAACTAACTCAAAAAGACACAAGCATCCCTGTGTTCATCATAGAATTGTTTACAATAGCCTAGTGTGGAAACAACCTAAGTTCTAAGTGTCTGTGGATGGATAAATGGATAAGGAAAATGTGAGATACACATACACAAAGGAATATCATTCAGCTTTACAAAAGCAAATAAAATCTTGCCATACATGACAACGTGGATGGAACTTGAAGACATTATGGTAGGTAAAATAAATCAGACAGAGAAAGACAAATGTTGGATGATCTCTCTTATATGTGAAATCTAAAAAATAAAAACCAATTACAAAACAAACTAAAACATTGAATTCATAGATACAGGGAACAGATTAGTGATTATCAGAGCCAAGACATGGAGGGTCTGGGGTAGGAAGTGGATGAAGGAGTTTAAAAAATTAGCCTATTTTCTTTGTGAAACAGTCATATACAGAACTATATATATATATATATATATATATATATATATATAATTGATAACTATATAAATGAGAACATTTCAATTTTTAATGAAAAACTACTCATGAAACTTAAAATTTCTGATCTTTTAGAAATCTGAAGGATAAAGCATTTGAAACTTTTGGTACAAGAAAAAAAAGGAAATACTGGCCTGACATATAATTCATATAATTGAACGCAAAATTACTAACTCATCAGAGGGAGATTCTATTTCCCTATTTCTCATTGGAATCAAAGACATTTCTGTCAATGAGATGTCACGAGAGATGATTTTTATCATGCTGGTAGCTGTCAACTTAGGAACTTGCAAACATTATATAAGGATGATATTTACTTTCAACATTCCCGAAATTCCTTTCTGGATGTCTCTCCTCTAGTCAAATACTTCTCATCCTTCAAACTCCATTTTCTTCTGTCCGGTTGATTTGGGCTTAGATATTGAGGTAAGCAATCCTATTATTTAAAGTCTCGAGCACCTTCCTAGTGGCACAGGGGTTAAAGATAGAGCTATCAAACTATCGCCAGCTATTGCAGCAAGAATTTGATTCCCAGACCAATCAGGGAGTTGACCCACAGCAGACCTCTCTTGACTCGCCTGCTGCTCCCCTCAGCAGTGTATTATTTCAGTAGATCTGCCTGTTCTGCTCCCCACTCTGTCTCCGGTGAATCCTCTCACCCACCACATCTCTGGCCTACACCCCAGCTCTTATATGCAAAAATAAATAAATATTTTTTAAAAATTTAAAGTTCATCTCACTATTAATTTTGTGAAACCACATTAATAGCTTTCATTAAATACTGTGATCCAAGTAAAATAAAATATATCAGCTACTATATATATATATTAAATATATATATACACATCCCATGCATTTCAGTGATGCAGGTGGATTTGGACCAAATAGCAAGCAACCCGGAGAATTTAAGATATTTAAACCCCAAGAAGGGGAGCCCACTAAATAGGCGCTCAGTAGCCCTTTGTTAAACAACTTAATGGGTACATATCCCCTTCCCAATTCAGCACTCTTCAATCTTCATCTTTAATCCATGATCTCATTCTAGGGATGTGAGCTTTTAAATATCTCTCAGTCATCCCCTTTCCTCTAACTTTCCTGCCATGTTCCTGCCTTTATTGTTTTCTTTTCTTACTTTAATGATTGTAATAACTTCAAAAGCAGTTTTCCTGTCTGCAGTCTTGCCCACATAAATCACTGCCTCTAACCGCTATTAAGTGAATTGCATCACTCCTTTGTTTAAAATAAAAGTCATGGTTCCTATTGCCTAGCAACCAAAGTAGCTTTCTCTCTCCTCCACACCCAGTGCCTAATGTTAACCATCACCTGACTCACTACTGACAGGACTCTATGCCCATCCAGATATGGCTCCCAGAACCAAAATAGGCTGCTCATCTGACCTAAGGAGGAGCCCTTCCTACAACATGGTGAGCCCTACTTCTCTAGGAGTCCTTGCGGTCTTCATTTCCCCATTCATCAGGGCTCCCCTAGGCCCAGCATGGCTTCATGAGCCCAAATTTAAACAAATTTCAACATAGCAAGGAATTCAGAGCCATCAGCATACTCCTCAGCATTATGAACCATGACATTTCTCAAAAATATACCAATATCCCCCTCCCGGGATACTGAATCCTGAAGACATATATTTTTCAGGTACTATTAGTGGGCAATTATTTTCTCTCCTGTATTTTTTTAAAAATAATTAAGAAGTTGGTATTTACTTTTATTGTATTGTATCAGTTTAATCAGTTTTATCAGCTGGAAGGAACCGAAATTACTCTTTTTTTAAGACTAGCAAAACACAACTGGGAGAAATTATTTAGTAATTTCTTAATATGAGCCAGAAAAGTGCTCAAATATAAAGTCATAATTTCTTTGAGTGGTTTTTTTGAGAATCATTAATATCCATCAAAGGAAACGTACTAAATGAATTAAGGTATATCCATAAAAAATATTCTGAAGTTGTAAGGAAAAGAAATGAGGAAGCTCTCAATGCACTACTGTGGACAGAGCTCCAAGTTACAGAGTTAAGACAGCAGCTTGCAAACTGCTGCTGCTCACCTGGGCACTTATATGTGCTCAGATACACATTTTTTATTGGCTTAGAGAAAGTGTTGAAAGAGTCCCAAGAAACCAGGAATGGAAAGGAAGGAAATGAAGCAGATTGGAGCAGGAGTGGGAGCAAGGCTTTCCACTATATATCTCTTTCTATTTCTAGGTTTTGAGCTATGGGAATCTATTACCCTTCTGCCCCCAGTCTCCTGAGTTTGAGTGGGTAACAATGTGATTCTCGAAAGACTCCATTTCAAATTGCATTACTTCAAGTCTTTGAAACTATCATAAAATCAATGAAACTTTTCAATGGCCCTAATACACATGGGCAACAAATTTGATCAACACATAAATACAAGTGAATAAATAAGTACATTCTAAAGTAATACACTGTCTACCAATATAGCAGATATCTGCCATATAAATTTTCCTAAAATCTTCACTTTCTCTTAGGTAGAAAATTGGACATGTAGATTCATTTACCTGCTATGGTGCCAACAGTGTAGAGAATATAACTAACACTAGCACTCACCATGTTCATGTTGGCTTAGCCCTAATGTATTATGGAAAATCAACCCTCACATTGCCCCACATATCCCCCCCACCCTTCAACACACAAACACACACATACATGCTACTTTGCATAATTTAGATGAGGCTATCAGGGTTAAATGCAAGGGTAGCTAAAGTTGATTGGTATGCTCCGTTTCCCCAGGAACACTGATTGTTCTAGAAATGATCATGAGGTTCAATGTAGGCCAATTAGAATCCTTGGGTTGGAGGTAAAGCCTGTTACAGATACAGAGCAAAAGAGGATTTCTTCACTTTTGTAATTACAGCTGTCAGAATTATGAAAGCCTGTAGCTGTCAGGACCCATTTTTTTATTCATTCTGAAACCCCAAATGAGAATTATATCACTGTGGAAATTTGAAAAGAGAAAGAAGTATTGGTGAACCCTGGATCCAGCCATGTTTGAGCTGGTCCACCCCTTGGAATTACTAACTTTATACTCCAAAGAATTTTCTCTTTTGTTGCTTTTTTGAAGCATAGTGCAAGTGATCAGTAAAGTCTTTTATGTTTTTTCTCTTTACACATTCCAGAGCTTTTTAAGAGACTATGTTGTTTCTTGAGATTATTTCTTAATTTACCTGGAAAACGTAGTAAATGCAGACTGCTAACTTTAAGAAATTCAGAGAAATTCTTCATGTGAGCCGTGAATCTGGAGCAAGGCAAGACAGTTCTTTCATGATGAGGGTTGGGCTATAATGTAGAGGGGAAAATACACAAAATAAAATCAGGTGTGACTCCCCAAATAATCCATGTCATCTGTCATTCTTACTTCCCCAAACGAGTGGTATTTTTAAAGGAAATATTTTTTGTCTGTTTCTTTATTCTTTAAACAATCCTGAAAACAACTGAAATTGACTCTATACATGTACATCCTTCCCATCTATTTCATTAAAGTGGCTATTAACTTATCTGCTCATACAATAAATTTGTATTGTGTTACACACTACAGGCCAGGCATTGCTCCAGAAACTGGGAATAATAGTCTCTGTCGTTGTGAAACTGACATTCTAGTGGAGATGACAAAAAAATAAGTAGCTACAGCTCTTTCAGGCAGTGATTTTTTTATTGAAAAGAAGAAAAACAAGATACAGTACATGGAATGGGGAAATGTTGCGAGTAGTGTACTTATTTGTATACGGAAATAAGAGATAGCTTCAGGAACCAGCGATTCCAAAGCACAGAGGGAGCAGTCCTATGATATCCTGGGTGAGAGTGATTCAAGGAACAGCCAGTGTGTCAGAGGGTGGAGTGACAGGGCATTGAAAAGTGGGTCTGAAGATTAGGGGCGGGAGGAATCTCAGGTCAGGTTTTTTCACCTTGATGTAACCAAACTTGAAAATAAGGAGATGAAAGAGATACAAGATAGTGGATAATTAATTTGAAATAAGATCATAAATAGCTATAGTCCAGGAATGTGTGTGCCTCGCAAGCATCACAAGTGATGGATACAAGAAATAAGTAGAATCTTGTCACTCAAAGCATCTACATGGACCAGCAATATTAGCATCATTGCAGAGCTTGTTAGATATGGAAATTATCTGGTCTGGCTTAGACCTACTGAGTCAGGATTTGAATTGTAACAACTGATCATTATGGACAATAAAAACCCAAATCACTCTTTGATCTAGAAAACAAAATATAAAATCTTTTCCATAATACAGGGGCTAGTCATGACCCATTATTTATATTTTTCTGCTATCTTGCAGGAACTTCTTTGTGATCTAAATACAACAAGCTGTGAGAAACTGAGGCACCAAATGTCTGCAACCCCCAACTTCCCCATCACCTAGTAAAATCCCTACTACATAAGCCATGTGGCTTTATTCATAAATGTTGACTCAAACTTCACTGGATTAATTCATATTTTAAGACACATTTTGGAATACAGTAGTCATATTTTTTCTTTCATCAAGGTATGATTTAACTGGAATGAAAAGGGATGAATAGAGGAATAAGTCAATAGCATTGAGTCATATGTTTCTGTGCCTTAAAACACTGCCCCATGTTGTCACTAAGCAGGGGCAGAGGAGCTTAGGGCTAGGAAGTCTTCACTGCTCTCAGCTGACTCACTGCCTAAAGTCAAACCCATACCCTCTATATTAAAACACAACCCCCGCCTTTGTTGTTGTTGTTGTTGTTGTTGAAGAAGAACAAACTTTCATCAGAAAGATACAAGAACAGTAAATATTGACCTTCTTGACGGATGGTGCACCTCACGCCAGGGCTACTCAAGCATCTGTTCATTATGACCCAGCCCTCCCCTTTGTCGGGAAATAATGCCAAGTGGCCTCCTTTGCTATCGGCTGCAGATTGCAAATATTTAAAAGAAATAAATTTCTCTGAATGAAAAGCACCTTTCTTTGTTATCCAACCCCTCCTCTCCTCCCAAGTCATGTTGATTCTGGGGCTGTGCATACTCCCAGCACCTGTACTTTTCAATTGTTTGCTTGCCAAGATCACTGTGGTTTTCTTGCTTGGTTTTAGGAACCATTATAAGTACAGTAGCCAATGAAGGTGTATTTTCTTTCTCTCTTGGCAATCTGTAGGGGAAGCTTCAACTTCAGGACACTTAACAGCAACTGTAATTAGAGGACATGGGAAGAGAGGAACAGAAACTGGAGCTCTGCATCTGGAGTACTCTCCCCGTATGATAATGAAAATGGGTCATGGCTGAAAATCAAAAGGAAAGGCTTGGATTTCTCCAGGAGTCTTATTATTCAGCAAAAAGTTTATAAACTTGGTTTTTCTGAAATACAGAGTGATTTCTTTAACTGCATTTACAGACTTGCAATAGGAAATAAGAATGGAATATCAGCAAGCAAAATTTGAGTGTGATAGAGAAGAGCCAAACTTAGCATAGAACCCCAAGGTCTAAATATAGACACTGAATAAAACGATTATTTCTTCTACATGAAGCATTACCTACCCATCATTGGGTGGAATAGGATCTCACCCTGAGGGATCTTGATCATTCTCTTAATCTCTTCCCACTGAACCATATGTCAATACAGTATTGCAAAAAATCAGCTGCAACCAGTTATTGTGATCTGATCAATATTAATGGCAAATTGGGTGTAAGGATGAATGTTCTATGTGTAAAGTTTTTAGCTTCCTCTGTTACCTGAAACTGACTTCTCATTCAAAGAGAATGTTACAGCTTCTATTACCACCACCACCAGAAGTTACTCTGTTATGGGAGTCACTCTATTAAGTGAGTGGCCACTTTTTAAACAGCTTTAATAGCTTTCAAAAACCTGTTGAAAATGCTCACTTGCTAATGACTCTTCTCTTTGTGTTTATCCTTGTGGAGGGACGCATTTTGTGTTAAAGAGGTTCTTCCCAATCATTGTCAAGTTTCCTTGAGATAAAAAGTATATGGTAGTTTTAGGGGACACTGGGGCAAAGAGATAATGATATTCAAGGCCAAGGGAAACTGGTCTTTACTGTCCCTGCTATCCCAGCCCCAACACCACCACCACAAGGACTGAGTAGAGCCATATCTACCTACCTACAAAATGGAATGCTTTGCTCTATTGTTAATTTTGCAGAATTGTGGGGGAGGGAGAGGAGATAAATAGGTGTGGTCAGTTTACCATGCCCAACCAGCCACCCCTCACTGCTCACTCTTCTACATTGTGTATGTGACATAACTTTTCCCCTGTGGACCTCCACCTTGTGGTCTTACCAGGAAACCCATAAGCACACCCACTATTTCTCTCTGAGTGTTCTCCCTAGAAGTGGTAACAGCAACACTTCTTGCGCTAACACCCCAACAAAGGCAAATCCCTGGCCCCAGAATCGATCACACAAGTCACAGAAATCTGAGCCCCAGTTATAGCCACCCTAGTCCCTGGCCACCAGAGAAAAGCGAGCCTACCCCAGCCAATGAAACCGAACTGCAATGAAGATAAAAGGAATAATCCAGAAGAAGCAGACATACAGTTTGGTGGGATGGTGTCACATAGGACAGTATCACTCAAGACCATGGGATTTGAAATTATCACACAGGAGTTAGACTCCAGCCCCAGCCATGACCTGGATTGTATGGGTGATCTCAGGAGAATGACTCTCTTCTCTAAGCTCCAATATCCTCAACCAGAAATGTTTAGCTGAGAAAGCAACTGCAGAGTGCCTACCACAGAGGTGGTGAGGGTATGAGTGGAAAGAAAATATTGGTGAGGGGTGGAAAGGAAAAAGATAACATTTCATTTCACAAAGAAAATAAGATAGGATCTTCAAAAAAACCATTAAACAGAATAAAAAGGGGTAAAGTTCACAGTTGACAAACACAAAGATTCATAGGCCCCAGCATCCACAGAGAAACCAGATGTGTGTGTGTGTGTGTGTGTGTGTGTGTGTGTGCAGGAGATATATACAAACATATGTACAATCACCATTCTCTATAGCATCTGAGGACCTTGTATGGGATAGGTTCTAGGAATTAGCTCTCTGAAATTTTCCAGGAGAGAACAAAGTTACCATCTCCAATTAGTTATTAATGAGCCTTTCAAATGGAGTCAGCATCCTCAACTATTGTTAAGTCCTCTTTTTATAAGGCCATAACTAAAAATACAACTGATCTCTCATCATCTTTCTTGTTCAGACAGGAGTCCACACATTATTCTATGTGACAAAAATAACCCAGTGTGGATATTGAGATTAATACATGGAAGGTTATGCAAGGTCGGATCATCACATACATAACTATAAGCTCCAGGGTATCAAAGGAAAAAATAATTACTAAAGTGGGTGCATATATTATTAAGCCTAATGATGTCGCTTCTCAAAAAAACATACGCTCAAGTTCCTTCCAGTTCCTCCTTAGTCATGAGGTTTGGATCTTACTGGGACAAAGGAATCATAATTCAATTATCCAATGATTTATCACAAAACACTTTGTCCGCACTGGATATTTTGATGTGTAAACATCAGAGTATTACGCTCCTTCTGTCCCAGGCAGCCTTCGCATTTCAGATTTCATTAGCCAATAAAGCCAGGTTTATTTATAATAAAGTTAAGCCCTCAAACCACTGACCATGGAAACCAGATTTTGAAATAATTCAGATTTGTGTTTCTGTTCTTTCTAATTAAGGGTAATATCGGGAAGCACAGACAGTGGGTAGCATTGTTCAAGCACCATGGATTTAAGCAAGAAAATCTGATTATCAGCTCATGTCAGAAGCCAAGCGATAATGCAGCTTAGCATTCGTTTGGGCTTTTTCTTTGGCCAAAAGATAATTACCGTTCGTGAGGTCTTACGTAAGTGTATCTAATATCTAAGGCCCTAAAATTTATGAATAGCAAAGGCACACAATAGGCAAAGAAGAATTACTGTATTTATTATTTCTATGGCTTGTTCCACCATGATAATTTCATTATCTAGCAAAGTCGAGCCCCTAAAATGAAAGTATAATTTCTTATAGGACAAAAGTTAAATATGCTGGCAAGGTTTTCTGCCCAATTTCCTCTGGTGTAAGTTATTTCCAACAAATAAGAAGTAGACTAGCCAGAATTTCAATAGGAAATTTACCAAAGGGGATTCAGAGTTACCTATTGAGGTCATTACACAAACAGATGTTATGCTTCCATGGTGAGAATTTTTTTTCTTTCATAAAATATTATTTCTTAATCCTATGCAGTGGATAATAAATGCAATACTTCCAACCAAACACCAAAAATCTGAAAATTGA